AGAAAGTGGAGCTATAAGGATCTGGACTTTTGATTGGCTGTCTTACGTACCTAATTCACTGCTTTGTTTTCGTGTTGACCCAAAACATTGTTTTCAGATAACAGCAGCATGCCAGATCATAAAGTCTTTTTTTAAAAAAACACACACACAAAAAAACTCAGGTTTGGATTTGCAGTTGGGTGTGTCAGTTGTCAAGGGCCTGGGCTGAACGAACCCTCATGTGATTCTAAAGCCTTTGAAATTATTTCTTTGCTGGGCTGTTCTGAACAATGCCTGTTGATCGTGAGGGCCCAATTTATGCAAGATCAAAAGCCACAGAAACGAGAGGGAACGAGCGCAACGCCTACCTGTTCTCAGATAGAGGACTTCCATTGCGTCCCACGGAATTTTGTGATGTTTTGATATGGTTCATTCGGAGTTTGATTGAAAATGACCAACCACCGTGTACAGTCCCCCCCCTTGCTTGCAAACAGGGAAATCTAAAAAAAAAAGCATTAAAATCAATCAATTGTAATAGGTCTTGAGTAAAGCCTAGTCCAGTAATGGCTGGCCTGTTTGTCAAGTGTGCCAGAACTGAAATACTCAGCTTGGGAAGGTTTGCTGTATTTTCATCAATCACACAATGGGAAGGTGCCAAAGGAACACTGGCGGTATTGCTAAGGGCAGTGCTCTGGGACTAAGCCCCGCTGAATAACATAGGACTTTCTAAAATGAAGATAGTTCCAGGTGGCCTGAAGCAGCAGAACAATTTTTGAGTCCAATGGCACCTTTGAGACCAACAAAGGTTTATTCAAGGTGTGAGCTTTCACTGGACTCAGAATTTGTTCTACTGCTTCGTATCTGAGGAAATGTGCTTTGCACACAAAAGCTCATACCTTGAATAAATTTCTGTTGGTCTTAAAGGTGCCACTGGACTCAAGATTTGTTGATAGGACTGACATTTGTGCAGACCTGTTTATGATTACTCGCTCTGTCTATCAGGGACCACGTGCCTTTCAGCTCTAATCCTTCTATATCTCCCTCCTGCATGCAAACAGGGTGCTCTCAGACGTCCGGCGTGCTAATTGTGTCGAACAGTGCAGTCCTAAGCAGAGATACACCCCTTTCAAGCCCCACTGATTTCAACAGAGTGGTGGTGTAACTCTGGCTAAGACGGCACTCTCAGTGTCAAGGTTTTTCTACGCAGCTACTTAAAAGATAACAGATCAGAGTCAGAGATTTGTTTTTCACCATTGCACAACCCGGGGAAGGCAACAAGGTTAAAATAAGAAGGCTAACATATATAGAAGTGGGGGGAAAGTTTGGTTACATTTCCATACAAAGAGTTATGTTTTAATGACTGAGACTGAGCGGTACTCGGGGATGAAGTTCACGTGTGCATTTGGGGAAGATGACAACGCTAAACTCTCCTGCTGCATCAGACAGCTAGGACAGCCAGATCGCATTCAGCAAAGGCAAGCTATGGGTTAGATGCTGGTGCCAGCTCCCCGTGCAGTAAGTGCACAAGAAACAAAGGGAGTCAGGGATATCAGCACAAATACACACCACACCCATTAATTTTTAAAAAGGGGGACAGCAGCTGTATCAAATTGCACTCGCGATGATGCAGCATCTTCATTATTTGGCGTTCAACCTCTATGAGGAAAGGGGACTAGGTAAATTTGGCTGGGATGGAAATCTCAGGCGGTCCCTAAGGAGTAACCCTGTGGGGCCAGGTGACTGCAAGAAGGATGCAGTAAAACTAAAGAGGACACAGAACCCAGAAGCAGAGGGAGGGAAAGATGCCTGCAAGGTACACAATGGACTACAAAACAAGAACTGGCAGGAGTGGATGGAGGAGGCCAGAAGAAAAAGGCAGAGTCAGAGAACTGAGGCAAGATGGATCTAACGTGAGAAGGGGCTTGCTCTGAAGAAGCCAACAGGAAAGCCTGTGCCACGTGGCATCACGGCCCTGCAAGCAATGACTTCGAAGTGCCCATTCTGTTCGTAGAACTTTCTCCTCTGCAATGAGGTTCCAAGGAAACAATGCCCTGGTGGAGGCCTGGAAATGGATCGAGACACAGAAAGAGAGGAAATGGGCCAAGACCTCACCAGGGCCAGGGCTGGATAGTATTAGCAAATTATGCAAAAGGAGTTTGAAGGGTTTGGGGACTTAACTGACCTTACACAAAGGTTCCCCCAAACAACCCTTCTGAACAACCTTTTAAAAAAAGAGTTAGCAAGCGTGAAATTTAGAGAAAAGTAACAGAAGAAGAGGGTGCCAAATCCTTCCTACACCCACCACTACTCTGTTACAAGCCACTTTCCCCAAATTGTTCCAAACACACACGTACACTCGACTCATATATTATGGGCATCCGAAACCCAATAAGAATAAAATAAATAGGTAGGGAGAAGCTGGAGGGTAAATTGGGAAACAGGGAACAGGTTAAGCAACCCTCCCCGCGACTGCTTCACCCCCCTAAATTGCCCCTTCCCCAAATTGCTTTTGCTTCTCCTCAGTGACACAACACTGTTTAGTTATATGCATCTTGCAGTGCCTGGTAACCCCAAGGGCACACACTGTTGCACAAAAGGGGACGCCTACCCGTTGACAGTTTCTCCAGCCACTGCAGCCTTCTCCAGGCAACCTGTTGATAGGAACAAACACAGCCACCTCCTTGCCTGCAGGCCTCTAGTACAATTAGTTGCGCTAGTGGCACAAAACAAGACACCCAAGTAGGTAAAGCAATACCTTTCCTTGGCTCAGGCTCGGTTACACTGCAGTTGAAGCTTTGAACTTCAGAATGAGTGAGTGAGAGAGAAGGCGGCTGACAAAAACCTGATAGCCCATCCCCCCCCCAATTCTTCTCCACACCCACCCTTTTTGGTGTCTCAACAAAAAAGGCAGACTACAAATATATAAACTTAGGGACAGGGTTTGGATTCTTTCTCCCCTTCCACTGTATGTTCATTTGGCTGTTTCTCATAAGAACATAAGAGACGCCAATGTTGGATCAGGCCAAAGGCCCATCCAGTCCAACACTCTGTGTCACACAGTGGCCAGAAATACCAGTGCCATCAGGAGGTCCACCAGTGGGGCCAGGACACTAGAAGCCCTCCCACTGGTGACCCCCCCCCCCAAGCACCAAGAAGACAGAGCATCACTTGCCCCAGAGTCCCTATCTATACCTTGTGGCTAATAGCCACTGATGGATCTCTGCTCCATATGCTTATCTAATTCCCTCTTGAAGCCGTCCATGCTTGTAGCCGCCACCACCTCCTGTGGCAGTGAATTCCATGTGTGTTCCTTCCCTTTCTTATCCTCATATATGGGCACAAGTATGTTTCAATTACATACATCAGGGGCCCCCCATGTGGTTCCTGTGGGCGCCATGGGACTCGCCAATACCTTCTGTGGTGCCCACCAAGTGTTTTTAGGAAGAGGGAGGGGCCAGGGAGGGCTTTTGACCAGCAAGGCTTCTGGTTTATTGGAGATCTGATTGGCCGTGCAGATTTTTTTTTTTAAACGTTGCTTTGGCAGCAGCTGCCACTACAACACAAGGATCTGCACTGCGTGGCTGAAGTTCAAGTGTGCCCATCATTTTGTGGCTGGCTCCGCCTCCTGTGGCGGCCATTTTGCCACTACGCCCACCATGCCGCGTCAGAATTTCAAATGTGTCCACAGGCTTTAAAAGGTTGGGGATGCTGGCATCCATTTTTATCCTGCACTTTCTCCAAGTAGCTCAAAGTGGCACACTCGGTTCTCCCTTCCCCATTTTATCCCCACAACCACCTCGTGAGGTAAATTAGCCTGAGCGAGTGTGGCCTGCCCAAGGGCAACCAGCATGCTTCACAGCAGTGAGAGGGATTTGAACCCAGGCCTCCCACATCTTTAGTCCAACCCACTAACCAGTATGCCACCCCAGTTGTCATGATGTATTGAAGTTCAGGGCTGGATGGGTGAGCTCAAACACCCACACACACACATGGAAGCTTGAAGAACGCCACAAAACTCCAAACTTCACCCATTGTTTGGCATCATTTCAGTTGGTCCAAATTAAAGGCACCACATTTACCTGAAAGATGACCCTGAATGTAAAATGACTCTCCCCCAAAAAAGCTATGTACAGAAAGTTTTTTCTAACTACTGTACATACTTGTAACGTGTATATGAACATAAGACAGGCTCTTCTTTTTCTTGACAACACACATTGGGGGCAGCGTTCCCTCTAAGCTGAGTTAGTATGAGACAGCTCACAGTTTTTTAGCCTCTGGCTCACACATTTTTGTCTTCGCTCAGGAAGGAGGGCTCCAGAGCAAACTGATTTCTGCAGTAGCCAAATCGCTCGCTCACAACTGTAATGCCAGTAGCTCACAAAGTAGCATTTTTGTTCACAAGACTCCACAGCTTAGAGGGAGCATTGTTTTTTTTTTGGGGGGGGGGTCTGGTCTTCCTTACCTGGTTTCCGTTTGAAGGTTTTGCTTTGAACCACTGTGACTAACTGAAACCTCTTCCTTCTCTTAAATTCGATAGCAAGACACCTGCCACACATCTGTGGCTGCACTGCTCCTAGGCATGCCCTCCTCATGCATGGCAGC